TGTGCACCGGACACAGATTCCTGGAATTCCAAATTCATCATGAATTGGGGGAAAAAAAATAATAATGAATTAACATGTGGAGACGAAGCCTAGTTACTAGTGTTATCCCGACACACTTAAAACAGCAGCGTTAGCGCCACTACACAAAAGGAGCAAATAAAACCGAGGCAAAAAACAAAAATCACTCCGTTAAACTAATATCTCACGTCAGAAAAATCTTTGAGCGTTAAGGAAGGAAGGAATTATCAGGGGGGAAAGCGCCAAGCAATTACGACTATATGGCACTGGGAAGGGGTCAGGATAAGGATTTGGGATGGGACGGGGGGAAGGAATGGTTGAGAGGCAGGAGCGACCTGTTCTGAACCGGTGTTGTCAAGAGTTAGTTAGACGCTGTAATTCAATGTGTTTTGTGAGCGTTAAGAAGATCACAAAACACATTGAATTACAGCGTCTAACTCTTGACAACACGGGTTCAGAACAGGTCGCTCCCGCCTCTCAAGTGTGTGTGATCACCATGACACGACCTTAACTGCCATGGAAGACAAGCAACAAGCTCATGTTGTTTGCGTTGCCCGAAACGCTATGCGTACTAGTGGCTTTAGGTATTGTATGTACTACCTCTATCAAACAATCTTTGTACTGCAACTCTGCAACTTTGTATGTACTTTTCCTAAATAAATTATTATTATTATTATGTAATATTTACACACACACTTCGAGAAAACTTTCGACAATTGTGACCAATGTGTTATTGTACACAAAACGTGTACAAAAGAAATAACTGGCACAGTGTAAAGCTGGATCTTTTAACTTACTAACGAACGAAACCCAGAGTGTAATAATCAACCAAGTCAAATCCGTATAATCCACCAGGAAAAAAGCTCAGTCCTCCAAGGTACCGCTCCGGTACTTATTCTCAGCCTCGTATCACACACATATACAAAGGCACAAACCATATCATTTCTTGCAATTGACACTAGGATTGTTATTTGAGAAGACAAAACAGAGAGCAAAGCACTTCCCAAGCCTGTGTAAATCCTGTCTTTCAATAGGACACAATATATGATATTAAACTGAGGCAAGTTAGAGCTTCTACGCTATGGAAAAAAACACAAACATCAAAATGAGAACTACTTATAAAATGCATTGAAGTCGCACGATAGAACGAAAATGCAATATATAAGGTTTGGGAGTAATCATGTCTGAAGGCCTTACTTTTACAGACCACAATAAAGTAGCCGTCACAACAGCAAGACAAATGACAGGTTGGATAACAAGAACCTTTCAAACAAGATATGTCACACCAATGATACTTAAAACAAAACAAAAAGTGTTCTCTAAAGTGGAATACTGTTGCACAATAACAACCCCATTCAAACCGTGAGAAATTGCTGGCCTGAAGGACGTGCAAAGATATTTTTCTGCTAAAAATCCACTCAATAAAACATTATTATTGGTACCGATTATAATATTTAAATGTGTATTCCATAGAGCGCAGGCGGGAGAGAGAATATTTTACACGTGGAAAATATTAAGAGAGGCTGGTTCCAATTCAATCTGCACACAGAAATAACACCACGCGAGACCAGAAGGCATGGCAGGATGTGCAGAATACCACCGTTGAAGAGCAGCGGTGCAACAGGTACTCTGAGAGAACAAACAACATTAAGATCCCAAGACTTTTCAACACTTTCCCTCTACACATAATAACTGGCCGACGTCTGTGTTCAAAAGAACTTTACAAAACACCTCCAAAGGATACCAGATCAACCAGGCTGTAATTCATACATCAGGTTGCGAGCTGCTGCATCTAACAGCCTGGTTGACCAGACCACTAACCAGCAGAACCTGGACAGAGACCGGGCGGCGGAGACGTTGATCCTCGAAACCAAAGCAAGGTAAACCAGAGATTTACAGTCACTGGCGGTCATGTGGTGCCCGGATACGAACCCTGGAGAGCTTCACAACACCACAGCCTCAGTGTCGCCAGGTCTCCCCCAGGTAGCCAGCTATGAATGTTTAATGCTTTTATTCCTGTCAGGGATGCTAGTCAGAGGCGGTGTGGAAGGAGGGAGGGAGGGATGTAGTGTGGTGCAGAGAAATTGAAATAAGTTTATCGAGGTAAAATACACACAAAGGGATGAGGTAGCTCAAGCTATTCTCACCCCGTTCAGTACATCGTGTTAATACATACATAGACACACATCACAAACAATAAACATATTACCAAACATTCTGAGAGATAAACATATACTTTACACAAGTATGGTGCAGAGAGAGGTGAGGATGGAGAGTGGATGGGGCAAGTGGTACAAACATTATTAAATATGACAGAAAGGGTTAGGTTAATTATTCTAAAATCGAATGTTTACTTGGGAAGGAAATTAAAAAAATTACCCCAAAACCTATTTCAATCATTTATATGGCCGGAGGCAAAGAGGTGCATTTGGTTGAGCCTGTCAACATCCTCAGAGGCAGAGAGGAGGTGAACACGACACGTGTCGATAATGTGGTTGTTGCTGTTGATAAGAATTGTCCTGGTTGAGAGTTGAAATCGTGCGTACTTCGATGGAGCCTAGCGAGCCCATCATGCATTATGAGGCGCCCTAAGAGAGAATTCTATTTCTTTTATTATGCATCCCATACCCATCCCGTGGGCGGTGGTGGGAAGGGTTACAGGGGTACATAATGGGTTCAGGAACTGAACCTCATAGTTTGTTAGGTAAGCAAGTGACAATCTTGTGAAGCTAGTTACACATTTTTTAATGTTATATATACATGTACATATGTATATAATATATACATTAATATATATATATATATATACATTAATATATATATAATATATACATTAATATATATAATATATACATTAATATATATATAATATATACATTAATATATATATATAATATATACATTAATATATATATATACATACAATCATTTACACAAATACATATACACATCGATAATCTTTTTATTTCACAAGTGATTCAACAAGAGGCTCACAACAGTCACTATAAAAGACACTTTCCACCTATAGTGAGTCACACAGTTACTAGTCTTGCTCCACACCCACCCAACTGGGCGGCAGCCTTACAGTCGAAAAGTACACTGTAGGTGCATGCTGCACTTACAGTAAGCAAATTTTGGATACTTCGCAAAGATTCCTGGTAGTATATCATTATGAATGAAGTACTTACACATTCCTTGGACACTATTGATGGTGTTATCTCCGAATTCCGCGATTTTTTCACATTCCATTATATAATGACGCAAAGTATGCGAATAGTTCTGCTGACAGAGTTTACATTTAGTCAAATCTACATCAGCAGATGTTACAAACTCCCAGAGGTACTTGTAGCCGAGCCTAAGCCTAGCAGTGGTAACATCTAGAAGTCTGCTAACCTTATTGGATGACCCATAGACGTGCGGTTCTTCCTGCATAATAGAATGATGATAGATGGAGGAACTGGTGTGAATTTCACTTTGCCTCAAATCTCTGAAATTTAGTTGATGTTCTCGGAATATTACTGCCCTCAGGCTGCTCAAAGGCAGTTCAAGAGGTAATCAATTCCCTCTTTACGAGCAAAAGTCTTGGCTAACGCATCAACTCTATCATGCATTCGAAGACCAATATGGAAAGGAATCCACAGGAGACTGACTCCATCATTGATTATTTCATTATATCTGTGTCTAGCTTCAGAGACAAGTATGTCACAGTTATGCCTTTGGGAGTTGAGAGCAGTCAATGATGACAATGGGTCGCTCACAATTAGCGTGTCAACTTTGGATTCGTATACGCGCTCGAGTGCAAGGATTATGGCAACCAATTCTGTTTGAAGAGTGGAGGCCCAGTTATTTATACGCGCTCCACTCATGGGAGAAGGAACCATCTCTCTCTCTGTCACAATAACTGTACTTCCAGCTGCACCATAGGACTGGTGCAGGAACCATCAGAGTAAATAATCTGGGAAAGGGAGCGCTCTCTGATCAAAGCATCAATTTGGCTAAAGGCATTGTACTTTGTTTATTGTCGAAGCAAGGCTTGTTCTTTAATCAGCTTCTTGGGTGGGAAAGAGGGGACAGTAATTTGGAAAGGGATGATCTCCCATGGAGCAGGAAAGGGTCGAGAGGGAGATTATCTTACCCCCCCCCCACACACATTGAGATCGTTGGCCCTGACACAAGAGAACGTTGGAAGGTATAGACGACCGTCTTCTCTTCCAAGGTGTTTCGCTTGGTGTTGGGAGCGCTTCATACCCAAGGTGGAGGGCTGGTAAATGGTTAACTCTACCATCTGATGTGTGAATGTATGTACAGATGGAGGGATGGAGGGAGGGGAGAAAAGGGGGGAGAGGGGAAAGAAATAAAGACAGGAAACCCGGGTACAGCAGGGTACCCCCATCCAATGTGCATTCGCCTAGTTGTGCTTGCAGGGGTTGAGCTTCGGTTCTTTGGTCCCGCCTCTCATCTGTCGGTCAACTGGTGTACAGATTTCTGTTGGGTGGGCTTGGTAGGGGTGTGTGTGTGTGGGGGGGGGAGGATGAGGGGGGGTGTTGGGAGGGGGGGGTGTTGTGGGGGTTTGTGGGGGGGGGGTGGGGGGAGAGGGAGAGAGAGAGAGAGAGAGAGAGAGAGAGAGAGAGAGAGAGAGAGAGAGAGAGAGAGAGAGAGAGAGAGAGAGAGAGAGAGAGAGAGAGAGAGAGAGAGAGAGAGAGAGACACACACACACACGGTTATAGTGAGTGCTCACCCTCTCATTCGTCAAGTACTTAGCTCAAGGCAGAAACGTAAATATTGATGCAGCTATAGTAAGCCAGGCTCCCTCCTGGGGAAATGGGCGGTGGCAGGTGAGAGAGAGAGAGGGAGGGAGGGGAAGAAACAAAAAGGAAGAGGGGGGTGGGACTAAATGAAGGGGGAATGGAAGAGGCGAAGACAGGGATGGGGCTTTATCTAAAATTCATCTCTTTTTATGTTTGTTGCTCTGATCATCAAAGTACGCAGCTGCGGTGCGCTTATCAGCCACAGTAAGAGGGCCCCCACAGCCAGAAGAGGGCACACCCAAGGCCAGAAGAGGGCCCCCTCCACAGCCAGAAGAGGGTCCTCCACAGCCAGAAGAGGCCCCACCCAAGGCCAGAAGAGGGGCCCCTCCACAGCCAGAAGAGGCCCCACCCAAGGCCAGAAGAGGGGCCCCACCCAAGGCCAGAAGAGGGCCCCCTCCACAGCCAGAAGAGGCCCCACCCAAGGCCAGAAGAGGGCCCCCTCCACAGCCAGAAGAGGCCCCACCCAAGGCCAGAAGAGGACCCTCCACAGCCAGAAGAGGGCCCCCCACTACAGCCAGAAGAGGGCACACCCAAGGCCAGAAGAGGGCCCTCCACAGCCAGAAGAGGCCCCACCCAAGGCCAGAAGAGGGCCCCCCTCCACAGCCAGAAGAGGCCCCACCCAAGGCCAGAAGAGGGCCCCACCCAAGGCCAAAAGAGGGCCCTCCACAGCCAGAAGAGGGCCCCCACAGCCAGAAGAGGACCCACCCAAGGCCAGAAGAGGGTCCCCTCCACAGCCAGAAGAGGCCCCACCCAAGGCCAGAAGAGGGCCCCCCTCCACAGCCAGAAGAGGGCCCCCCTCCACAGCCAGAAGAGGGCCCCCCTCCACAGCCAGAAGAGGCCCCACCCAAGGCCAGAAGAGGGCCCTCCACAGCCAGAAGAGGGCCCCCACAGCCAGAAGAGGCCCCACCCAAGGCCAGAAGAGGGTCCCCTCCACAGCCAGAAGAGAGCCCCCTCCACAGCCAGAAGAGGGCCCCCTCCACAGCCAGAAGAGGGTCCCTTCCACAGCCAGAAGAGGGGCTCCCCTCCACAGCCAGAAGAGGCCCCTTCCACAGCCAGAAGAGGCCCCTTCCACAGCCAGAAGAGGGCCCCTTCCACAGCCAGAAGAGGGCCCCTTCCACAGCCAGAAGAGGGCCCCCTCCACAGCCAGAAGAGACCCCACCCAAGGCCAGAAGAGGGGCCCCCTCCACAGCCAGAAGAGGGCGCCCTCCACAGCCAGAAGAGGGCCCCTCCACAGCCAGAAGAGGGACCCCTCCACAGCCAGAAGAGGGCCCCCCCTCCACAGCCAGAAGAGGCCCGACCCAAGGCCAGAAGAGGGTCCCCTCCACAGCCAGAAGAGAGCCCCCTCCACAGCCAGAAGAGGGCCCCCTCCACAGCCAGAAGAGGGTCCCTTCCACAGCCAGAAGAGGGGCTCCCCTCCAGAGCCAGAAGAGGCCCCTTCCACAGCCAGAAGAGGGGCTCCCCTCCAGAGCCAGAAGAGGCCCCTTCCACAGCCAGAAGAGGGCTCCTTCCACAGCCAGAAGAGGGCCCCTTCCACAGCCAGAAGAGGGCCCCCTCCACAGCCAGAAGAGACCCCACCCAAGGCCAGAAGAGGGCCCCTCCACAGCCAGAAGAGGGCGCCCTCCACAGCCAGAAGAGGGCCCCCTCCACAGCCAGAAGAGGGCCCCCTCCACAGCCAGAAGAGGGACCCCTCCACAGCCAGAAGAGGGCCCCCCTCCACAGCCAGAAGAGGGCCCCCCTCCACAGCCAGAAGAGGGCCCCCCTCCACAGCCAGAAGAGGGCCCCCCTCCACAGCCAGAAGAGGGCCCCCCTCCACAGCCAGAAGAGGGCCCCACCCAAGGCCAGAAGAGGGCCCTCTACAGCCAGAAGAGGGCCCTCCACAGCCAGAAGAGGGCCCCCTCCACAGCCAGAAGAGGGCCCCCTCCACAGCCAGAAAAGGGCCCCCTCCACAGCCAGAAGAGGGCCCCCTCCACAACCAGAAGAGGGCCCCCTCCACAGCCAGAAGAGGCCCCACCCAAGGCCAGAAGAGGGCCCTCCACAGCCAGAAGAGGGCCCCCACAGCCAGAAGAGGGTCCCCTCCACAGCCAGAAGAGAGCCCCCTCCACAGCCAGAAGAGGGCCCCCTCCACAGCCAGAAGAGGGTCCCTTCCACAGCCAGAAGAGGGGCTCCCCTCCACAGCCAGAAGAGGCCCCTTCCACAGCCAGAAGAGGCCCCTTCCACAGCCAGAAGAGGGCCCCTTCCACAGCCAGAAGAGGGCCCCTTCCACAGCCAGAAGAGGGCCCCCTCCACAGCCAGAAGAGACCCCACCCAAGGCCAGAAGAGGGCCCCCTCCACAGCCAGAAGAGGGCGCCCTCCACAGCCAGAAGAGGGCCCCCTCCACAGCCAGAAGAGGGACCCCTCCACAGCCAGAAGAGGGCCCCCCTCCACAGCCAGAAGAGGGCCCTCCTCCACAGCCAGAAGAGGCCCCACCCAAGGCCAGAAGAGGGCCCTCCACAGCCAGAAGAGGGCCCTCCACAGCCAGAAGAGGGCCCCCACAGCCAGAAGAGGCCCCACCCAAGGCCAGAAGAGGGTCCCCTCCACAGCCAGAAGAGAGCCCCCTCCACAGCCAGAAGAGGGCCCCCTCCACAGCCAGAAGAGGGTCCCTTCCACAGCCAGATGAGGGGCTCCCCTCCAGAGCCAGAAGAGGCCCCTTCCACAGCCAGAAGAGGGCCCCTTCCACAGCCAGAAGAGGGCCCCTTCCACAGCCAGAAGAGGGCCCCCTCCACAGCCAGAAGAGACCCCACCCAAGGCCAGAAGAGGGCCCCCTCCACAGCCAGAAGTGGGCCCCCTCCACAGCCAGAAGAGGGCCCCCTCCACAGCCAGAAGAGGGCCCCCCTCCACAGCCAGAAGAGGGCCCCCCTCCACAGCCAGAAGAGGGCCCCCCTCCACAGCCAGAAGAGGGCCCCACCCAAGGCCAGAAGAGGGCCCTCTACAGCCAGAAGAGGGACCTCCACAGCCAGAAGAGGGCCCCCTCCACAGCCAGAAGAGGGCCCCCTCCACAGCCAGAAAAGGGCCCCTCCACAGCCAGAAAAGGGCCCCTCCACAGCCAGAAGAGGGCCCCCTCCACAGCCAGAAGAGGCCCCACCCAAGGCCAGAAGAGGGCCCCCCTCCACAGCCAGAAGAGGGCCCACCCAAGGCCAGAAGAGGGTCCCCTCCACAGCCAGAAGAGAGCCCCCTCCACAGCCAGAAGAGGGCCCCCTCCACAGCCAGAAGAGGGTCTCTTCCACAGCCAGAAGAGGGGCTCCCCTCAACAGCCAGAAGAGGGGCTCCCCCTCCACAGCCAGAAGAGGGGCTCCCCCTCCACAGCCAGAAGAGGGGCTCCCCCTCCACAGCCAGAAGAGGGGCTCCCCCTCCACAGCCAGAAGAGGGGCTCCCCCTCCACAGCCAGAAGAGGGGCTCCCCCTCCACAGCCAGAAGAGGCCCCTTCCACAGCCAGAAGAGGGCCCCTTCCACAGCCAGAAGAGGCCCCACCCAAGGCCAGAAGAGGGCCCCCTCCACAGCCAGAAGAGGGCGCCCTCCACAGCCAGAAGAGGGCCGCCCTCCACAGCCAGAAGAGGGCCCCCCACCACAGCCAGAAGAGGGCCCCCCTCCACAGCCAGAAGAGGGCCCCCCTCCACAGCCAGAAGAGGGCCCCCCTCCACAGCCAGAAGAGGGCCCCCCTCCACAGCCAGAAGAGGGCCCCCCTCCACAGCCAGAAGAGGGCCCCCCTCCACAGCCAGAAGAGGGCCCCCACACCCAGAATAGGGCGCCCTCCACAGCCAGAAGAGGGCGCCCTCCACAGCCAGAAGAGGGCGCCCTCCACAGCCAGAAGAGGGCCCCCCTCCACAGCCAGAAGAGGGCCCCCCTCCACAGCCAGAAGAGGGCCCCCTCCACAGCTAGAAGAGGCCCCCTCCACACCCGGAAGAGGCCCCCTCCACACCCAGAAGAGGCCCCCTCCACAGCCAGAAGAGGTCCCCCACAGCCAGAAGAGGGCCCCCACAGCCATTCATGGATCCCCACAGCCAGATTACGGCCGCCCCCCACAGCCAGATGAGCCCCCCCCCCACAGCCAGAAGACGGCCCCCCCCCCTCCAGTAGAGGGACCCCCAGAGCCAGAAGAGGCCCCCTCCACAGCCAGAAGAGGCCCCCCCCACAGCCAGAAGAGGTCCCCCCCCCCTACAGCCAGAAGAGGCCCCCCCTCAGCCAGAAGAGCCCCCGCTCCACAGCCAGAAGAGCCCCCCGCCCCACAGCCAGAGAGTATACTGGCTGGAAGGTTGGTGGGAACGCCCTTGCTGCAAGGGCTGGAGGACGACGACTTAGTCAGGAGAAGCGGTGGCCAAAAGAGTGGAGCCTGACCACCGCCAGCAGGCGCCCGCCGGCCAGGCTGCCTGCGGGGCGGCACCTGGCCGGGTCAGGTTATCTTGAGATGATCTCGGGGCATTTTAGTGTCCCCGCAACCCGGTCCTCGACCAGGCCTCCACCCCCCAGGAAGGAGCCCGTGACAGCTGACTAACTCCCAGGTACCTATTTTACGGCTAGGTAACAGGGGTCATATACAAGACCAACGTATGATACATGTGTGGAATCTGAGACACTGTTTATGCCCGATTTCACAACACACTTTCCTTCCCCCCTTGAGACTATTTTTTGTTCATTAACTTTTGTAATAATAGGTATTTGTATGGTCAGCACAGTAACCGGACCAGACAATGTGATGTAGTCATTGTGGTAATTCGCCTTGGCTATAGACACATCTGGCAGGTTAGTGAGGCTGAGCCACTACCAGAGTATTCAGCTTGTAAACTCTTGTGACTAACCTTTAATGCATTTACTAAAACACAATATTGTTGAATGTGAAACCGTAAAAGACTCTAGACCTCCTGGCCTCTTGTACCACCAACTGTGTATCAATTTCATCGACTCAGGTGTACTGGACGACATCCTAACAATTTATCCAAAATTTGCTTGTCCATTTTATAGAATGAAGAACAATTTTATTTATATTATTTTAAGCAGCATCTCTTATGAACCCATCCCTGCCCTTGTGTGGCAGTGCACAGTAGAAAGTTGTATTTACATATTCATACATTGAAACATGTATATAGTCTAATGTAGTTCACTGTAATGATATATATATATATATATATATTGTTATATTGTTATATAAGTGTGTTTTCTGTAAACTGTAACATTGCAATAAAATCAAATAAAAAAAAAAAAATAATAGGGGTGGTAGGAGAGGAAAAGATTAAAGTATTCAGTGAGAATCCACAAGGTCTTCTCTGAACACTATTTATTTTCTTCTTCGAGGATGTGGGTCCCTTTAATTAAACCAGTGGTGGTACCCCCTTATATATATATATATATATATATATATATATATATATATATATATATATATATATAACCTACCTACCTACCTAAATATATATATAATATATAATATATAATATATATATGATATATAGATATATATATATATATAATATATATTATATATATATATATATATATATATATATATATATAACTGAAAACTCACACCCCAGAAGTGACTCGAACCCATACTCCCAGAAGCAACGCAACTGGTATGTACAAGACCCTTAATCCACTTGACCATCACGACCGGACATAATGAGGTGATAGCCGAGGCT